GGGGGGGGGGGGGCTGGTCCCTGAAGGAATGAATGCTGGCCAGGTAGCAGTGAGGTTGGCTGTTGTGGCTTGGGAAATGTGGTGTGGTGGTCATGGCAGAAAGGAGGCTGATAGTGTTCCTGTGGGAGAACTGCTAATGGGGGGGATGGCCGTTAAGTTGGGCCTTCCAGAGGGGGCTGGACTGTCCACTTCACACAGGTCATCTGTGGGGTGGCAGAGCACTTGACCCAGGGTTCATGTGGAGTGGAAGCTGAGGTCCCCTCCACTGGGAGAGAGAAATCAGGTCCCTGGGCTTCATTCAGCCCAGTGGAGAAAACCTGCTTCGACCCAAGCAGAAGTCAGCGGTGGCCTTCTGTCTCGCCCACTGGCACTTTTAAGTCAGATAGCCCCCTAACAGAGCTGTCCTGTTATCTCTTCCAGGGAGAGGTTGTGGAATTTGTGGATGACCTCTTGGAACTGGAAGAGATGGGGTAGTCCACAGCAACCAGCAAGACTTCACCTTGACGTTCAGGAAACAGATTCTTTGTCCTCCTTTTCCCAATATCCCAGGTTGTTGATACCTCAGAGCCTTCCTTTTGCTCTGTGAAGTGAAAGGGAAGCCCCAGTCCCCCTGAATACATGTGACAGGGGAGCCCGCCCTGTGTTCACACCTCTCTCCCCCGTTCACACCATCTTCCACCCATCTTGCGCATTCCTCACACCTGTCTTCCCAATGTTCATGGCTATCTTTCCGTGCTCTACCTGTCTTCCCCAATTTTATATCTGTCTGCCTCGTGTTCACACCTGCTGTCCCCGCGTTCACCCCTGTCTTCCTCACGTTCCCATCTGTTTCCTCCATGTGCACATGTGCCTCTCTCACCATTTTGGTTGAGAGGACAGTCTTCCATGGTTTGTTGTTTTTCCCCCCAGAAAATCAGTATTATTTTTAAAATAAGAAAAACACTCCTAAAGGATGATGATTATGAAAACTTTCTTTGGTCTCTCTGCTCTTCCAGATTTTAGTCTCCTTTCTTCCATCCAGGAAAGATGGCAGAAGAAAAAGGCTAAACTTTCCCAAGCCTCATGATGGTCTTCACTTGGTCTCACCCATACCACTTCTTGCATGCATTGAAAAACAAGCTAGGTAGATGTGTAGAATACAGAAGCATGGCTTTTGCTTAAGTCTCCAAAATCGTACAGAGGTTGGCCAGTCTCATTCAAGAACAATGCTTCACTGTATGTCTCAAAGTTGGAAATAGAAGAAAGCCAGAGGGAGTGTATTTTTTTTTTTTTTTTTGGTGGTACTAAGAATCAAACCTGGGGCCTCCACACTAAGCTACATCTCCAGGCCCTTTTTATATTTGAATTGCTAAGTTGCTCAGGCTGGGATTGAATTTGTAATTCTTCTGCTTTAGCTTCCCAGAGTACTGGGAATACAAGCATGCACCATGTCCGTCTTGGAAGTCTAGCATCATTCATTCTTTCAGTGACTATTTGTGGAGTACCTGCTGTGTGCTAGGCATTGACCCAGATGTGGAGATGCTGCACAGTATAACAGAAAGAAAAAAAAGAAATCCCTGTTCTTGCAGAGCTTACATTCTACAGGAAGAAGACAACAGATTAACAGAAGTAAACATTCAGGGTATCAGCAGGTAATAATTGCTATGGAGAAAAATAAATGTGTGGGCAGGGACAAGGACAGATGAGCATAGGGCCCTAATGGCCAGACTAAGACATTTGGCGTCTATGGAGAGGGCAGGAACATCTGGAGGTTTGCATAGAGCAGTGTTGACTCCGCTTTACCAGGGTTGCTGGCTCCCGTGTGGCTGGGAACGTGGGAGTGAGCCGGTGGAAGCAGGGGTGGCCGGAGGAGGAGGCTCTGTGAGGCTGCAGGCTCAGATCTGGGGCCAGGGCCACAGGGAGACGCAGCCAATTCTAGGTTTATTTTGAAGGCAGAGCAAATGGGATTTGCCAACAGGTTAGATGTGGAGTGAAAGAGAAGAGTTGAGGATGACATCAAGGTGCTGAGCCTGAATAACCGGAAGGGTGGTTACCATTCACTGAAGCAGGGTAGACAGGCTGAGGGTCAGGGAGGACTTTGTGCACAGCTGGTGGCCTGAGGTTGGGATGGGAGGTTCAGGCTCCAGATGGGTCTGGAGAGCAGTCGGGGTCCAGTCCCCAGCAGAGCCAGAGTCGGGGATTTGTGTGCACATTGTCAATTGTGTGGGTGCTCGCAGGAGAAACCTGGAACGGCTTCTGTCATTGTTGGCTGTGAGGATTCTGCTGGGGGATAGGGGACCTTTGAAGGTGGGACTCCAGTTAGGGCAGTTCTCTGGGAAGGAGGGCTGTGGGCCCGCGGTAGGCAACGAGTTCACCTGGACTGGGGCTAGAGGTGAGGGGTCTGGAATGAGCACTGACTGCTGTGTCTTCAGCATGTCAATGGCACTTGAAGCTGCGAGGCTGCACGGGGCCACCTAGAGTGTATGTATGTATTCAGGAGTAACTGAGAAAAAGGAACAACCAAGGACTGAGCCCGGGGTGCTCTAGGAAATGAGAGATCAGCCAAAGAAACTAACCTTCTTTGGGGGAGGGAAAGCTGGGGTTGTGTGGGGTTCTGGGTGCTGAGTTCTTTTTGGGGAGGGAGATTACTAGGGATTGAACCCAGGGCCCTGAGTTACATCTCAGGCCCTTTGATTTTTTTTTTTATTAATTGTATTTTGAGACCGGGTCTCAGTCACTAAATTGACCAGGGTGGGCTCAAAATTGCAATCCTGTCTCAGCTTCCCAGAGTGCTAGGACTCTGGGTGGGCACCATCACACTCACCTAGCTGAGCTTTCTTTGTTGGAACTTATTTCCTCCTTCAAATAAGCCCCTTGTCTAGTTGGGACTCTCCTAGACTAGAGCCTGGCATCGCCTTTTTTCCACGGTGTGCTGGTATAGAATGATTTGGGTCTATGTACCATGGTGGTTCACTGAGGGTGGGAAACTCACATCTGTGCTTTTCAGGCTTCTGTTTCCCCCCCAGGACACTATTCCAACCTCTGGAAACTTGGGGGCATCCTCCCATTTCTCCTTTTGCACTCACTCTCCTCTGTCCCTTGTCCACCCGAGAGCACTTCCTCTTTCTCCTGCACAAGAACCCCATGGCAGGGTCTTCTAGGTGCCCAACCCAAGACAATGACCCTCCCATTTCTGTCTTTGGTTGTAGCAGCCTAGGACACCAGACTCTACTCCCAGGGGACTATTTGGCCAAGGAGTGGGTGTATTTTGATGGGCACACTTGTAGCCACAGCACCTTTCCAGTGGGGGTGCCAGTGACATGTCAGCTTTTAGGGGCCCTCCTGCTGGTGGAGATGGCCATTACCCACAGGATGCTGGGTTCCCATTCCCTTCTGCACCTCACTCTCTACTCCACCAGAGAAAACTTTTTTTTTTTTGGTACCAGGGATCGAACTTGGAACCTTGTGCTTGCGACGCAGGCGCTGGAACCACTGAGCTAAATCCCTGGCCCCACCAGAGAAAACTTTGAAGTCAGTGGGGAAGAGGGTCGCAGGACAGGACCATAATGGAGAGGGGGATCCAGGGAGTGGACCCCTTACTGTGCAGATGGCAGACCCAGCAGCTGCTTAGCTTGCCATACAGCTCCTGGCTGCAGGGAACAGGAAAGGAGATGTCCCCAGGGACTCAGTCTGGCTGGGAGCTCCTGCTAACTCCTCTGTGCGCCTTGCACAGCTACTGTTTGGTTCTCTTCCCTGGAGTCTGGGGTGACCTTTCTGTATATGATGTTCCAGGCAGAACATGGTGTGTGTGGGGGATCCTTATTTGCTCTCCAAAGTTGGCCCCCTTTCACTGGGTTAAGGCACCTTCACCCCCACTCTAGCAGTGTCCCCTGAGGAAGACACCCTGGTGACAGTATGGTCAACATTAACAGTACTGTGCTTTAAGGCTGTGGAGTTATTAAAATTTTTTTTAATTTCAAAGGAAATCCAACCAACCTTTGGAAAATAGAAGTAGGCTGCTCCCTCAAAACCTACCATGAAGCCCCAGTGTGAGGCCACACTCAACGACCTCAGGCCAACACCTCCCTGAGCGTATTTCTTGGAAGAGCCTGGAAGAGTTCTGGACTGAGAATCCATAGGTTCAGCATCAGTTTGGCCTGTCCTTTGAAAAAGCAAACACATCTGTAAGCTTTGTAGGAGTTGCCAGGTCTGCTCTTCAGATGCCACACTTGTCCTGTACCCTGCCAGCATGGAGCACAGTGGTTGCCCTGTTTGGTTTCCTGAGGCTCATCCCAGGGAGATGACCACCATGGCGGGGCATCTGTCCAGTCCCAGTGCCACTCGCAGTCCATGCGGGAGACACCCATCGTGCAGGGTCTGAAGGCCAACCCTGGGCCACTACTCGTGCTCAGACCTGACAGGAGAGGTGAAGGGCTGAGGGAGTTTGTGCATACACAGTCACATTTGACAAAGGGACTGAAAGGTAGCACGGACCAACATACTCAACACACAAACAGCTCCGAGTTTTGAGATGTCCTAATGGCTGACACTAAGCTACTGGGCTCAGCCCTGGGGTCCAGAGGAGAGTCACTGGGAACGGTGACCACAGTGGCCGCCATAGGAAGGAAATGTGTGCTCTTAGGAGTTCTTATTAAGGGAATTTTAAGAGCACAGAAATTTTATTGAACCCAAGTGAGTGGCAAACAGAAAATGATTTGTTAGATTGTCAATGGGAAACAGTTTATTAGGACTGCTGGTGGAATAAACAGTAGCTGGCCTCTGCCAACATGTATGGAAATAACGTTTTTAAGTTTTAAATGTGAGCTGTAAACCGAAGCTACTTCAGGTTTTTTTGTTGTTGTTGTTTAATTCAATACTTAAACTGTGGGGAAAAGGTGGATCAGTGCCAGAGAAAACATTGTCATTTAATAGTGTTTGAACATGGAACTGCAACACTGTTTGTAGCAAGGCACTGAGAAAAAACCACAACTAATCCTTCATCGCAGCTGTCTGAACTCTTGATCATCTGCCATCCCCCAAACAGCGACTTCTTTTTTCTGGTGACTCCAGGCTTGAATGACCCAGTGTGGAGAGTTTAAACTATGTACAAGGGGGGCGGGGGGAGAGAGGAGCTTCAGCCAAAGGTTTTTTGCATTGATCTTCCTGTGTCTGCAGCCAGGGGCAAGAGCAGTCCCTATGCCTGTCCCCATGGCACCTCCCTGCAAGGGACGACACCACAGCCACCCAGCTTTGCCTGGACCCAGTCCGTCCCCAGAAAAAAAGAGTCAGGAGCAGTGATGGTTGCAGAGAGAGTGCCTTGTCTCCTGAGCAGGCACATGCCAGCTCACAGTGTCCCCCAACAAATGCAGTATCTGACTTGGTTGTTTGCTGAATGAATGCTCTGCCCCAATATCCTCTTTAATCTGGCAGGTAAGATACCACTGCCTCATTTTACAAGAATAGGAAGGAGCTGAATAATGTGACCAATATATCCCAGAGTTTTATCACTCACTTAGGTTGGCAGTCAGTAGGACAAACTATAAATGTTCTTCTTGGTGTCCTTTTTCACCTCTCCTCCTTAAGTCAGGGTGATATGTGCAGTCTTATTCTTTTTTTTCTTTTTTGGTGCTGGGACTCAAACTCAGGGCCTGGCGCTTGCCAGGCAGGTACTGCGCCACTGAGCTACATCCCCGGCCTAGCAATCTCATTCTTGTAGGAAATTAGAACTTGGAAAATATAGTGGAAAACTGAAACATTTTTAAAAGTCTGTGTTTTATTTTGCTTATTCACCACTGTGTTCTTTTCTGTCTACTGGATGAGACCATCTTAGCCACACCCAGTCATTTCAGGACACATGTTAGAATGAGCTCCGTTTTCTCGAGTCCGTGAAATTTCTGACATCTACCTAATAAGCAGAACTCTTATACTAACGGCTCCTGGATCTCATGAAGCAGAGGTGGTCCTCGCTAGCCCTGAGCTGGCCAAAATCTGGGGAGGCAGTACAGGCTCCTGCCTCTCCCTGGAGAGATTTGCTTTGGGAATCCTACAAGGAAAAATGTCCAGATTTGGGATCCTAGTAGGAAAAACATCTGGACTATGTCTCAAACAAGGACCCAAAGCATCTTCAGGCATGACTGCTAACAACTGCCCCATGCATGTTGCTAAAGGACAAACAGGAAGAAGAGAGGAGGAGGCCGGTGGAAAGAGTGAGCAGCCATCCTGCACAAAGACAGAGAGGTCCATGTTACAGAATTTGAACATAAGTTCTTTGAAGATGAGGAGGAGATCACGGGGGTGTTGTTGATGTTAGCCCAGGACACAGAGGACACAGTGAAATATTTTGGACTGAGGAGGAATGGAGATGTAGGGAATAAGAGTGTGGGTGTTGGTCATGCCCTGCATTCGGATCCCTTGAAACAAGGCCTTGTCCAAGTGATGAAGTACTCTTGAAAGAAAAGGTGAAAAGCTAGGTGTGATGGTGTACTCCTGTAATCCCAACACCATGGGAGGCTGGCGCAGGAGGACTGCAAGTTCAAGCCCAGCCTGAGGCAAACTAGAAACTTGGTGACATCCTGTCTTAAAGTTGTTTCCTTTTCTTTTTTTTCTAAAGGCTAGGCCTGGACCACAGTATCATGGGGAGGGTGGGGGGAGACAAAACACAAAAAAAGGGAAGGAGTTGGCTGGGACCATAGCTTGTTGGTACAGCACTTGCCTAGCCTATGTGAGCCCCTGGGTTTGACCCCCAGTACCACCAACACAAAAAGGAGGGGGAGAAAGCAGCAAGTAAAGATGTGTTCTCAGGGGCTGGGATGTAGCTCAGTGGCACCAAGCCTGCCTGGCAAGCACAAGGTCCTGAGTTCAATCCCTGATACCAAAAAAAAAAAAAGTGTTCTCAGTTGGACCAGCTTCAACCTGATCTCATAGGACCTCTGGAGCTGGGAGTTTGAGGCAAGGAGGTTGGCCTTTTATATCCCCAAGGCAAGTAGTGTAGCAGGGTAGAGATGGGTCTCACTTCCTGGTTGAAGGCAGGTCTCTGTGTGAAGAGGGTACACTTCAGTGCTTATGAAGATTTTAGCAGCTAACACTAAGGGCAGCTGGGAAATGGGTTCACCTGCCTAGTGAAGGTGACTTCGGAGTATCAACAGTGTCTACAATGTAGGAGGCTTAGGAGCATGGGCCCCTGGTGGTCACAGAGGTACAAAGGATGTGAAAGGAAGGAAGTATTGAGGTCTCAGAGCTGGATTTCACCGTTTGCCCCCTGCCCCTGTCCTTCCCCCCTTCCTTCTGGAAGCCTGATCTCTATGGTCTGCCTTGGCTGCTTCCCTTGCCCTCTGACTTCTTGTTGCCGAGGGGACAAGCCTGCAAGAGACCATAGAGAGAAGACGTCTGGGTCTTTAAAACCTGTTTCTTCCAGGCCACAGATGGACCATGGCTGCATTTGTGAGGGCAGAGCTCTGGTCCTGCAGCGTCTTTCCTATTGCTGCAGCTCTCACTGGGTCCCCTAAGAGCTTTCCACCATCTCTCAGTGATGCACTGAACCCTGCCCACATCTTTGTGAATAATCTCTCCACTTTAATTGTTCCTTTGGGTATCAAATCAGTTTAGAAGAAGAAGGTTATCAGTTCTGGTCTTTTAGACTGGTGCTTCTCAAACCCTACCATGCACACCCATCACCTGGGCGTCTTGTTCAATGCAAGTTCTGATGCAGCAGGTCCAGGGCTGGGCCTGAGGTTCTGCAGTTTTAACAAGCTCTCGTGGGGAGCATCTGTACTGTGGGTGCATGCTCAGAATATCCAGGTCCTGGTTTGCTTCTCTATGGTTGGGGTAAGGAAGAGGGAGGGAAGAGGGGCAGAGCTCTGCAGACCTCTGAAATCCTGCTGAAGGAGGTATCATGGCTGAGAGGTTTTCAGAGGGTAGAATTAAATATAATAAGTATTAAGACATTATTTTCAAGATACTAGGAGATACTAGATACTAGAGAATCATGGTGCAGTAACACAAAAAGCAGATATATTCAGCAATATCTGGGGAAATATTTATTTTAAATATATCAGAAGCTTTGTGTTAATGACCCCGCCCCCCCAGTTTTCATGAGCATTAAACCTTTGCCAATCTCCAAACGTGCATAATGACATACAATTTAGGTTTACAGTGGTTTTTTTTGGGGGGGGGGTTGGTACAGGGGATCAAACTTGGGTCTTTGCACTAGGTTTACAGTGTTTTAATTATTCTCTTTTGACATGCATTTTTAGATCCTGTAACATTAATTTAGACAATACCAAATCAATAGAAACTCAAAAAACTGATGTGTTAGGTTTACTTTGCAGTCCAGCTCTATAGCAATACATTTATAAGTATTAATAATTTGTAATAAATTTATTAATACATTTGTATTGATATTTCCTGTTTATGTTTTGGTATAAATTCAACATTCTGGGTTATTACATAATAGTTACTAACACAATCCTAATGTTGAGACAATTTATATAGTTAAAATAGAAAAGCTATCTTGCAATAGATTCAACTCTAATTTAAAAATATGTACAATGTTTGGCTCGTATTCTGTTCTGTTCTGTTCTGAAGCTTTGGTACTTGCAGAAAGCATTTCATTCCTACTGATCCAGAGTTCATCTGATGCATACGTATTCCAGTTGGTAACTTCAGGCCTTCGTGTTACCCAGTTATGGGAATTAAGATCTGACTATGCTGTACTGTCTTATAGCTACTTAGCCTACCTATTAGTTTTCCAAAGCTTGCACTGAAAAGAGGAGTCAAGGGAGAAAACATGCTGCAAGAATTCTTTTCCCCTTTAGGTGGAACACCACCAATTTTCCAATTATATATATTTTTAAAAATCATGATTTCTCTCACCACACAAAAACATTTATTAGACTCCTATGGTGTCTCAAAAGAAATGTACTGTCTTCATCAATTTTACCACTGAAAACTATTTGATTAGAAAATAATTTCTGATTCATATTAGGAAAATATGTCATGTTTAGTTTCTAGGTCAACATATGGGAGACAGAGGTGGCATTTTGACAGCTTCATATTGCCTCGGATGCAAGTGGCAAAGCCTGACTATCATGTAAGACAGACCATGGGTGTCACCATGTCCTGTGCCTCCAGTGCTTCAGCTGGTCTCAAAGTTTACAATTTAGGATATAAACCAATGGCTGTCCAATTTGAGTACACATCAGACTTACCTGGAGTACTTATTAAAACAGAGCACTGGGCCCCACCCAAGGGGTGCTGTTTCCTGAGTCTGAGGTGGGACTAGAGAATTTGCATCTCCAACTAGTTCCCAGGTTCATGGTCCAAGGACCACCCTTTGAGAACCACTGTCTTGGGCAATGCTGAGCCATCATCAGATGATCTAGGTGCTGGGAAGTGGGTTGCTCAAAGGCTGGATGGACTCTTCCCCATGAGTAAAAAACAGATCGACACAGATCATTTCATGCTCCCTTTTAATTCCTCTTCTCTATCAAGTAGGTGCCATTACTTGATACTCTTGGGCCTTCTTCAAACATTTTTTCCCTCTATGTCATTCTGTTTTATTAGAGTTTGGAGAAACGGTTAATCCTGAGAGAGGAACCTAAGGATTGAGTTTTGTTAGTCCTGGGAGAAATTTCAAGACATTTTTAGGCACAGACTAGTCAAAGACAGCTATAGGAAATGGTCCCTAGTGGTACAAAGCTAACCTTGTTTTTAAAAAACGATGGGCTGTCCCACAGAATGGAGGCAGTGGAGGTGGGTGTGTGTCTTCACTCCTCACCTCCCCAAAGCAAAACATCAGCCTTAAATTTTCTCCAATTCCGACCAACAATTACAAAGACATCTCCAAGTTTCTAGACTGAGTCCTGGCTCTTGGCTCATCTGCCCTCAGCGACATCATAATTTTAAAAGCAAATAACCCATCGTTCTGTGTCTCATTCCCACATTTAACATTTATGTTCTCAACAACATGCTTTCAAACACTCAGTTTATCAAACCTTGTTCAAACGTTTCAGGGCATGGAGTCAGAGTCAGTGATTTTCTTTCTTAAAAAAGGAAAAGAAGGCAACAGCTTGATACAGGAAGCAAGACCTTATGTTGCACAGGTCTAGGATTTTAGTGCAATCAATTCCAGGGCAGATGGGGAGGAGACACTGACATATGTGCTGATGGTTCTGAAACCTTCCTGCCCTGCTGGGTGCCTCTGGAGACGCTTCTCAGCCTACAGAATAGGCTTGAGGAGAAAAGACCAGCCGTGCTCCACCCGTGCTCTTGTGAGTTATCAGTGTTTGTCAGTGTGATGTGTCACAGTTAATTTTCCTCCCAGTGGCCTTGAGAGAGCACATCGTGACGGTGACTAGACCTTCTCCATCTCAATCTGCTGGTGGTAGTGCCGAGCTTGCCGCTGGCCAACATTCAGCTTGTACACAGAACTCTTGTGCTGGCACCTGCGGTAACCCCACACGGCTCCCACACTTGCCAGGAGCAGGAGCAGGCACAGGACAGTGACAATGGTGGCGATCACGGGGCCTCTGCTGAGGCTGGGACACTCATCCCCCACACACGGCTCCAAGGTTGGATGGTGCTCCTCCTCACCCGAGACTGGCCCAGGGGCCTCCTGTCCCAAGAAGTCCTCGGACAGCAGGTATGGGAAGCTATCCTGGACCTCAGGAGCAGTGGTTTCCACTGGAAACTGGGTGGCTGCCATGCTAGTCGAGGGGCTGCGGTTAGGCATCTGCTGAACAGCAGTTGTTGTTTCTGTCTCCTGGGTAGAGGTGGTGCGTTCATAGGGTGGAGTGGCCATGGGAGACTTCTCTGTGGTGAATCTCCAAGGTACACTTGACTGGTACTTGGTCAAGGGACCATCCTTGTCATGGGGACCTTTGGTCTCAGATACATTCATGGGTCTGAGAGCCAGAGCCTCCACATCTAGCACTCCAGATGGAAGAACTGAACTATGGGTCATGTCCTTGCTTGGTGCGAGGGTGCTACTTCTGGGCACCTTAACTTCCACAAGAGCCGGCTGATCAGGAGTCACAAACACACTTTCACTCAGTCCTACTGACCCAGGCCCCTTGTCCCCATCGTCCTCCTCTTCTGCCTCTACCTTCCTCCACGCCCCGTCTGTCACAGGGTAGCCATCTAACCAGGACTCATCGCTGCTGCTCACCACTGGGTCCCCTGCTCTGCTGTCATTCCTGTCCACAGATGACCCCAAGGGGCCGTCAGTGCTGCCATAGGTCACCCTGGTTTCAGGCTCACTTGGGACCAGTCTCACTGTACTGTGGTTGTCTCCAGCAGGAAACTGCTTTTTGGTATCATCATCAACATCCCTTTGCAAATCAGGTTTGTAGAAAGTCTCAGCAGGAAACCAGAATGAGTACTTTTGGTTTACTTGGGATTTTGGCAAGTTTGTGGGGACACTGCTCCTGGTGCCAGGCAAGCCTGTGTTTGGCACAAAAGCTTTATGTCGGGCGATATTTTCTTTGCTCACCGAAATGGAGACCAGACGGTCTTGTTTTGGTGCCTCCTCAGAGACTTCTCTCCGACCTTTGTCCTCTTCTGCCTCCGAACGGGAATCTTCCATGAGCTCTCTAAATGACACAGAACTGTCATCAGGGAAGTTATCCTCATAGTCAATATGGGTCTCAGCTGCAGCCTCATCTGGAAGGAAGGGGGGAAAATCCTCATTAGGTCCAAAGGCACAGAGTCAGCACAGAACCAGAACAAGAAATGAAAAACACAAGGACTGGAAGAGAATAAATAATACTATCATCTATGAATCATAGATAATACAAAGAATGTACATATAAACCATTACAATTAGTATGTAAGTTTATCAAGGACACTGGGTCCACACTAAATATAAATATCAACTATATTTCTACATACTAGTCATAAACAGCAAAACATTTAAAGGATGCTATTTATAACAGCATGAAAAGATCACTTAGCTGGGTGTGGTGGTGTACGCCTGTAATCCCAGCACTTGGGAGGCTGAGGCAGGAGCACTGCTGTGAGTTCAAGGCCAGCCTGGGCTACATAGTGAGTTCAAGGCCAGCCTGAATTACAGAGTGAGACCCGTCTCAAACTAAAAAAAAAATCAAACACCTAAATTTTAACAAAAAGCTTGCAAGGCTCTTTCATGAAATGGTACAAAATATTAAAGAGCAAAAGTAAAGACCTAAATAAATGAAGAAATATACCATGATCATATAATGGAAGGCTCAAATTTTCAATTCTATCCCAAATGACCTATGTACAGTAGACCCTTGACTTACAAACTCAATTCATTCCCGAGAGCTAGTTGTAACTCAAGTTGGTCAATTGTCTTCAAGCTGTCTCTCCTGTATAATTTTAGGCCACACTTTTTTCCAGGCAGATCTGAGGGTCCTTAGAGAGACATTGGCAAGGATTTCTCAATTCACCCCTCATAGGAAAGGATGTTGTAATGTTCCTTCCAGAATCCTTTAAGGGTTAAATCTGTATCTGAGACCATCTGGAAGCACAAGCACCAGCATTTGGATGGTAAGACTTTGGTCATAAGTTAAAACTAAAATCTGGTTGTAATCCAAGTTGAGTTCATATGTCAGGCTGGTCATAACTCAAGGGTCCACTGTAGGTTTATTTTTTCATGAAGTGCAGGGAACTGAACCAGAGTCTTTGCATTGACCTACATTCCCAGCTCTTTTTTTATTTTTAATTTTGAGACAAGGTCTGGTTAAGTTGTTCAGGTAAGAATCAAACTTGCAATCCTCCTGTCTTGGTCTTCCAAGTGCTGGGATTACAGGTGTGTACCACTGTGTCTGGTTGATCCATATAGATTTAATAGAGTTCTAAATAAAAATTTCAATGATGCTAACATTTTTAGAAATGCAATAGGCTAAGGATAGACAAGGTAATCTTAAGAAAAACTTGCAGGACACACACTTTAAAATTTCATAAAACTAGGGCCAGGGATTTAGCTCAGTGATTCCGCCACCTACCTCACAAGTGCAAGGTCCCAAGTTCTATCCCTGGTATCAAAAAAAAATTTTCATAAAACTAGATTACTTTTTAAGGTTGTGGTATTGGTACAAGGATAAATAGCTGAACTATATCAAAATTAAAACTTCTGTTCATGAAAAGCCACCACAAAAAGAGGCACAGAATTGGAGGAGATACTGGCAATATATATAACCTACAAGGGCTGTATCCAGAATTTTAAATCTTGCCAATCAATACTAAATAGACAAAGCACAGATGAGATGGTAAGATGCCTGACTTGGCATATCCCCAAAAGTATCTAAATAGTCATTAAACACGTAAAGATGTGCAACCTAATACAAGAGAAATGCTAATTATAGTCATAATGAAATACCACTGTATAGCACCACAGTGACTAAAATTAAACAGACTGACAATATCAAGTATTAAGGATATGCGATATTGTTAGTGGGGGTATAAACTGGCACAACTACTATAGAAAACTGGGCATTTCTACTAAAATTGAACATATAGGTGCTCCATGACATAGCAATTCTACTCTTAAATACACATACATCAGTAATATGTGCACTGGAGTGCCAAAGTTCATGTACAAAAACATTCGTAATAACCACAAACTGGAAACAAATAACCATTAACTGCAGAACTGATACATAAATTATAGTTCAATGCAAACCAATAGAAATGAAACAATTATGGCTTCTCACAACAACATGGCTGAGTGTCATGGCCAGAATATTGAGCAAAAGAAGCCAAGCACAAACGCATAGGTTCTGTGTGATTTACTTACATAAAGTTTAAAACCAGGCAGAACTAGTCTGTGCTGTTGGGATGGTGGCTATGCTTGGACAGGAAAAAGGGAGGGAGAAGTTGGTCTGAGCACAAGCAGGGCTCTGGGAGTGCTAGCTACATTCTTCTTCTTGACCTGTATAATGATCAAATTTCTTTGTTTTTTGATAATCCGCTGATCTCTTGCCTTATGATTTTATGGCATAATTAAATGAACGCATCTTTGAAAATACAAATATGTTCTTTGTATGACTTCTGAGTGAGACTATGCTGTGAAGTATTCTGAATTCAACTGAATAAGGACAAAGAGAGGCCTTTGCCTTGCATTTAGGAGGCCAGAATAAGGACAATGTGATGCAACAGAATCGCACCGGCTAGGAAGCTCTAGAAACGTGTCCTCAGAAAAGAGCAGCCCCTGGGGCTCTCCTTTCTGTCAATGGTCTTTGAAAACACACTTCAGTATTAAAACAGAAAGGTTTCCCCACTTCACTTTGTGACTTCAAAACAGCAAAATGCAAACAAAGTGCTTTGTCATGTGGTACATTTCTGGGCTGTGAAACTAGATTCATGGGTATCTGGCTCATTATTTCCGAAGACTCTTAGAGAATAAGATTCCTTATCTTGCTTATTTGATAACTTGTGGGGTTAAAAATACAGTTTAAATATTCTTTCTGATAAAGTTTGAGCCCATTCACTTTACTTGTGTCCTCATCCAAAAATAGAAAACAGCAGATAAAGAACAAACATTGCTGATAAGTGTCGAATGCGTGTCTGATTTATGCTTAGAAAAAGACAGGCTCATGAAGTCCTATTCACAGATCCCTAGACAAAAACTGCATCAGACGGCTGGACCATCTGATTAGCCTTGTAGAATTTCAATATGGGCTCTGAGTGCTACCTCTCTGCTCACTGCCCGTTAACCCTTCATTCCAAGCACAGCACTGCCTCCTGCTTCACTCAACAATCTTCACTGAGTGCCGGCTCTGAATCTCGCTCTGTGCTAGAGCTTGAGATCACTGGGGAAGGACCGACACTCTCTGCCTCCATGGTACACGGGACAGAATTTCAGTCCTGCAGCCTATCAAGCCGATTCCAAAGCTTTTGTGTGCACAGAGTCTCCACCATCATGCTCAATAAAAATTAGGCTTAAGCATTTGAATACCATCCTTAGTTAAGCAAAATAAAAGATAGATAATAGGAAATAGGGAAATGGATTTTTTTTTTTTTGTGAAAGGGAAGGGGACCAAGAGATGGATAAAAAAATTAAGATGTGTTCTGTACATGTACCAACTCCCCACAGAGAATATAAATATGTACTGCAAACATGTTCCAATAGAACAAAAATTAAAACGTGGCAAGAATGATGGGATAAGCGTGTTTGAAGCAAGGGGAGTATTTTGAGGGAGTTAATGGCAGTAAGTCATCTACTATAGTAAATTGTTTTAAAAAAACTTTTTAGACAATCTTGCTCTCTAGTCCAGGTTGGCCTTGAACTCACTGTGTAGCCTAGGCTGGCCTCGAACTCATAGTGATCCTCCTGCCTCAGCCTCTCGAGTGCTGGGATTACAGGCACATACCACCACACTGGGCAATAAATTGTTTTTAAATGTACACATTTACCACATTTTTGATTACATCTTGTATATGCATCTATCTATATATTTTATGCACTATAGTAATATATACTTATATATTATTTATGCACTGTAATAATATATATTTAGAATATTTATGCAACACTCTCTAACCATACACACAGTAATAATATACCAACTGTATATAAATAAAACTACATATAATATTTCATTTCAGTCTCTGAGGTAGAGAAATACAAGGTTCTTATAGATGGAGAAATGTGACCTCGATCATCCTTGGATAACAGGATCTGTGTTCTCTATTCACCTCTGTATTCCTAGGATCAACAAACTTCCTCACACGTCATTAAATGGTTTTTGAATGAAAATAAAATACCATCCTTCTTTAAAACAAAATGAAATAAAGGCCGCTATGACAAGTTTCTCTAAAATTTATGCAAACATAGACAAATCGTATTGAACCTATATGGAGATTTAAGAAAGCCATGATAGGGCCCCGGGGATTTGGCTCAGTGGTTTCGGCCCCTGCTGCGCAAGTGGAAGATCTGAGTTCGATCCCGGGAACCAAAAAAAAAAAAAAAGAAAGCCATGAGAGGGCCAAGGATTTAGCTCAGTGGTTCCACTGCCTGCTGCTTAAGTGCAAGAACCCGAGTTCGATCCCTAGTACCAGAAAAAGAAAGCCATGAGTTAAATCTTAGACTGCAGGATGAGGTGATTAGATTGTTTGCTTGCATAAGTGTGTACTGATTGGCTGTGGTAGAAAGATTGAAAAAATGGCCACACTTCACTCTTTCCTTTATCAAGTCCTTTTGCTTTGTAACTTTTCTCATCAAGAGGTGGGACCCATTTTTCTATCTGTATAGTTCATGTTAAGCTTATCACTTTGGGCTGCAGGGTGCAGTGGAAGCCTACATGCCTCCACCCCCCCCTCTTGGAACTCTCCTTCCTGCCAGCTGCCATGTGAACAAGCCTGGGATGCTGAAAGATGAGAGACCATGTGGAAGAAAGGTGAGTGTCCCAACTGACGCCATCCTAGACCAGCTAGCTCCAGTTGTCCTGGAACCTGCCCACATTCACTTGAGTAAGCCCAGCCAAAATCAGAAGAACAATCTAGCTGAGCCCAACTCCAACTACTGAACAAATGAATGGAAGCCAAATAAATGATTGTTGTTTTAAGCCACTAAGTGTTTTGGGAGATGGCCTACTATGCAGAAAAAGCTAGAACACTAGCAAAGGGCCGCTTGAGAGAAAGGACCAAGGCATTATATCCCAGAGTAGAATAGTACCTGGCCT